TGATTCCAAGACTCGGCCTATCTGTACCACCTCCAATTACAGAGTTACCTTACAGCTTGTCTCCTTTAAGCTCCCTCAGATCACCTTCCTCAGCCTCATTTTCACTTATCCATTATTAGGATTCCAAAATAGACACAGCACAGGGAGACCAAATTTTAACCCTTCAGTCCCACCAAATATTGAAGTAACTCTAGCTATTCCCTTCACAACAAAAATACCTTGTTTTCAATAATTCTTAATTACCATGGAATACCTGATACAGGTAACCTATTTATYAAGCCAGGCCTATTTTTGAACCTGCTGAAGTTATTTGTATTGGATTTTAACAAGACTTAAATCCAGCAATGTCTCAACATTTGGTGCTTCTTAACTACCTTCTCCAGCTCTTACTCCTGCCTCCACCCCCAAATATCAATACCAGGTCAATGTGTAACATCTGGATGTATCCTTATCTTCTACACTTCAGGGCAGTGCTGGAAATCCTGGGGAGAATTTAAAATATATTATTTCCAAGGCTCCCTACAAATTACACTTCCATAATGTCCCCAAAAAAATGTATTTTTTTTGGCTAACACATTAAAAAACTTCCCATGTAGGCATCTAATTCCAGCACCCCCACTAAAACTCAGCGTAAGATATACATAGCAAGAGACACCACATCTTGGTTGCTTCCAGATGGCATCCATGAATATTGTCATTACTCCCTAGCTGGGTTCAAGACAGAAAATTCCTGCATTTCTAAGAATATACTGGGCAAGGCAAACATCACCCCCTGTAACCAGTACACTCAAACCCTCCAGACAGGCAGAAATATTCCTTTGTATTTTAAGAGACTAACAGATCACAACGTATTCTGTATCACTCTGATAAATGCATTGGACAAGTATTTAATACAAATTAATTCTCTTACAAAAGATATTAATTGCTAAGAACTCATTTTAGAAGGTCAGCTGTTAAAACAAGAGGCCAAGAAGATCTGATTTTTATGCTAACAAAATTATTTTTAAGCGTGTATTTCTATTTCAAGGCTAACCAACTCCTTTCTCTCTACTCAGAAATCCTCTACTACTTTAATAAAAATKCAGTATTCTGCCTCAAAACCTATCCTGGAGTGTCCATATCTCTGTACTAGGAAGSCTTCCACAGTAATTTACGCTGATTATTTTGGCATCTAAAGTAAAGGTACTGCTCATAGCCAGCTCACTGCTTTTAAAAACCTCTTAATGTTCTGCTCAACTACCAGTTGGCTCAAGTATCTATGGATTCTGCATATATTTCTGTTTGGTGAAAAACAAATCCACGCTCACAAAATCCCCAGCACACTGGACACCCTGTGAAGAAATAATAAATTGAGACACTATGTTAAATAGAAACATAGGGGCTTGGGGGTATTTTTGTTTTTTATCATGACCTTGGCTAATACTAGTTACAACTTTATCAGTGGGGAGAAAATAACCATTTTGAATGGAATATGTATTCTTTTTATTTTCAGTCTGCACTTGAAGCAACCAAGAGACTCCCTTCAAAAAATGTCCACTCTATCTTCAGTCACATACTTAAGAAACATTTTATTAATACAAGCAAGCTGCTTTCAAGGTTACATTTTTTCTGACACAAAATGAGAAAAATCCTATCAAAAAAGAAAAAAAAAAGACCCCATCTAAAATTCTGGCATGACCACAGACATTGGAGACTCAAAGACAACTCACCAAAGTGTTATTCAACCACTGGAATGCCCAATTTCCCATTTCAACCTACTGGTAACAAAGCAGCGCTAAATGCAATTCCTCAGACAATACGGTCTGCCATATGGCTAAAACTGGATATTAAAATTGAGAATATCAATTACCAATCCACTAATGCTGAGAGCCAAAATCCATGGACAGTAAGAATTTAATCCAATTCAGTGCCTAGAACATGAGCTGAGCCCGACGTAGAGGAGACAAATCTACCGCTGCTTTCACAGAGCGCAAACAACTCCAATTTTTTATTGCAGTAACTATAAAACCAGCTGAACATAACACTTGCTTAACATCTCTAACCACAGCTCCAGGCCTGGTAGGAATCTACAAAAACAACAAAAGTTTCAGATGAATTGGCATCTGGTTTCACAGGGATTGAGAAATCATAACTAAGTTACTATTTAAGAAGAAACAGTTTAGTTGTTTTCCACATGACCAAATCGAAGCCTCCAAAGCACCAGGAAGTTACACAGGGCAGCCAACATCTTGCTTAATTTCAGGAAAAGGCATCCTACAAACACAATGTATCTTTCAACTATAATTAAAGGACATTGAAACCACATCAGTAAAAGGATTTTCTTATTCTAAGCGAACTAGTTTAATTCAAGTTTTAAATTGTTTTAATAGCTGTGGAATGTTTCTTCTGAGATGATACTAAGAATAATGTTACACAAAATTCTATACAAAACTTCATTGATTACTTACACAAGAATTCTCATTATGTCCAAATACAGCATCTCCAGATTTCCATGAGGCATGGAGGTGATTTAACTGTTCTGTTAAAATTTCCTGTGGAATTTTAATTTACCATGTTGTCAAAGATTTCATGCTAGGATGCCTGCTACGTACTGACTTAGCAGCTGCAAGGACTCAACAAGGATAAATGTAATTTATCTTACCCAAAACAGACTCTCACTTCAYTCTGCTCCTTTCTGGTCTTGTACTAAAAGGCCAAAGTAGTAGTAACAAAAAAATTGCACAAGTAATTTTAAGTTCAACAGGACATTAACATCAAACGGAACTAACAGTTTATTGGACAGTATTCTTAATTAAAAAAAAAAGTTCTCGAAACACCAGAGAAATAAAACACACTAATATCATCTTTTTTTTTAATTCAAAAAAAACCCAGCACCACAAGCCTCAAGTGAAAATCAGCTCTTCTGCTTCCCAGCTTCCTTCTGCATGAGCTACAGCTGGGCCATACAACAAACTAACAAACAACTGATTACACATTAAGTCATGGATAAAAACTACTAAAATGTTTGATATTATCAAAGGTTTGGAGGTCATTTGAATACAGGAGACATAACAAGCTTTTCTTATTTTTCTTGCTGGGAAGTGTATTGTTTTATGCCTGAGTCCAACATATCAAATATTAACCAAGCTATTTAGGCTACCAAAGTTAAGGAGTTTGGCACTTCAGTGAAATACCACAAAAGTTACAAATCAAAAGTCCATTTTTCTTACAAGATACTAAAAACACACACATTGAGSGTTCAGAAATTTGTAATGGCATTTTGAAATAGATTACCTCTCAGACACAAAGCTGTTTTAACATCCCCCCGAACCTTTCTTACTCTTGCCCATTAAAAGAACAGTTATCTAGAGGATGGCAGTAATTCTGGGTCAGCAGCAGTCTTAAACCCTCCACAAATTGTCAGTRTTCTGAAGCAGACAGGAGATTCTTTTGTGTCACAGAAAGACACCTGTCTGCACAGGCTCTGATCTGATGATTACCTGGCCAGCACAGACCCACGGCCCAGCAGTCTTTGTGTACCTGTGCTCTACGTTTAAAAACCGGTTTTTAGCAACAGGCTTAATAAAAGCCAGGAACATTTTGGTGGCATTAAGCAGGCAYTGCAAGGTAAAAACGAAAATTGTGTCACCCCTTTATTCAGTTAAGAGCCTATGTGAACATTTCAATAAAACTATTTACTCCTCCCACCTAGTTCCTATCTGGAGGAGCTCACAAAAATTAAGAAAAAAACCCACAGATTTCCTGCAACAATCTTCCAAATACTCCTCCTACCCCCACCCCAGAAGAGAAGAAAGCAAAGAGAACGAGAAAGTAAATCTAAAACWCAATTACGAAATAAGATCTAGTTTGGCAAAGCTGGGGTGAGGAGGAGTTGAAAAATGAGAGCTGCCTTGCTGCAAACGCCATCTTGTTGCAGCTACTGGGCCCAGGCACAGAGAGATCCATTCATTCACAGCAAAAAGAAAATCAAACACACACCCTGGCTAATCTGCAGCCACCAAAACAACTACACTATTATCACCCCTTCTCCTTCTCCTCTCCTAAAGCACAGAAGGGAAAGAAATAAACTCTGATCTATCACGTTTAGGATGAATTTTGGTATKAATATATCATCTTCGTTTCCTCACACGCATTTCACATACACATCGACAGCATTTTGTCTTGATTCACATCCTTGGGACCAGATCGGCTTAAAATATGGGATAAATCTCTCACGATTAGGTGCAGATATCCTACAGCAGCAAAATGCTTAATTTTTCAGTCTYAAATCACCCCTCCAAGTTGAGCCAACTATTCTCAAAAGCTGTTTCAATAATCACTTAAGCTTTACATTTACAGTCCTTTCCTCCTATTTCCTCCTGTGGAGACAATACATAATAACGTGGCAGTCGGCACATCCTAGAAAGGATGCCTGGTTTTAAAACGAGTTCCAGCCATGACTTTGTTAGAGAATAATGAAATATCACATTCGTAAAAATTTCAGTTCATCCTCAGCAATGATAAAATGACATCTTACAACAACCTCTATATCATTCTAATTTTCTTCTGGATTAGATTTTTTTTTGTTAATAAAACGCCTCATCTCTTTCCTATTTACATGCAAGGCTTTACACATCTTCATTCTCTACAAAGCTGTAGGATTAAAAACCCTACACGTTCAATACCCCTTGTACAGATACAAAAAAAAAAAAAAAGAATGCTGAAATCCGTTCGATAAAAAGCTGGGAATGGAAATAATATTCTAAACAACATTTCCAAGGAGAAAACTCCATCTTTCTATTGTAGCATACACCCTCCATGATCTTCGTTATCGCTGCTACGGGCACACAAAAATATGCAGCACCGTAATACATGGGGGAAAAAATATGCGGTTTGAATCCATCCTCGGTTCCGGTTCTAACGAGAACAAAACCTTCCCTACCCCTCCCTCGCCCAGCACACCCAGCATGAGCCCCATCTGCGAGCCCTTGGCTGGCTGGGGGTGCTGGAAGCAGCCTTACCCTGTTTGTCTCACCCCCGGCTCCTCTTAATCAGTTTTCCACCATTACAGCAGACACAGCATTGCTTTTTTTTTTTTTTTCCCTTGAATCTCTCTCCAAATATTCCCTCTGCCGGCCGGATCGCTCRGGAAAATCGCCTTTTGTGTCTTAAATAGGACCCCAAAACCGTCTAGCAGAGACCACTACAGCGTAATTATAATTAAAAATGGAACCCCGCAAGATCCGAGGTCTCCTCCCTTTTCGCCTGGAAGCCTTCGAGAGGGAATCAGTCCCACCCCCACCTTTTTCCCCTCCTCCTCCAGCTACAAACACACTTCTTTTTTAGGGGAAGCTGGAGCCCCGAGGAGGTGGGAAGCGCGGGGGAGGGGGGCTATTTCCAACCCCGCCATACCGAGGGTCGCCGAGAACGGGGGCGATGAGGAGGCGGCGGCCCCGGGGGCCCCCAGTGCGGCGGCGGAAGAGGAGGACAGGGGAGGAAAGGAGAGGGAAAGGAGAAGTGCGGCAGGAGGAGGAAGCGCGGGGGAGGGGAAGGAGCGGGGCTGAGGGGGAGCCGAGGGAAGATGGCCCCGGGGTGGGGCCGGCCGGGGCTCGGCGGGCGGGAAACGCGTTCTGAGGGACCCCCGCCCTCCCCGCACCCCTCACACGGTTACCTGCCCTCCCGGCCGCTGCTCATGAACCGGGCCGGTCCGTCCGCCGCCCGCGGTCCTGCCCGCGTCCCGCCGGCCTGGGGAGGGAAGGGGGGCGGAGGAGGAGGAGGAGGCGGCGGAGGAGGAGCGGGGGAGCCGCCCGCGCTGCGCCCGGCGGGTCCCGGGGAAGGCGGCAGAGCCGAGCGGGAAGGAGGGATCCGCGGGGGAGGGGGTGTCGCTGGGTCTCGACTCCTCCTCAGCCCGCTCAGCTCCCCGCAGCCATCGGGCAGCGGCAGCCTGGGCGCGGCGAACCTCCCTCCCCTCCCTCCCTCACCTCCTCCTTCCGCCCCGCCCGTGCTGCCCGCCCGGGAAACCCCGGCTCGGCTCCCGCCCCGCCCCGGCCCGCCGCCGCCCGCCGACCCTCACCGGAGGCTCCGCCGCCCCGCCCTGGCCCCGCACAGCCCCGGCCGCCGCGAGCCTCACCGGAGGCTCCGCCGCCTCCACCGGGCACCCGCCCAGCGCGGCCGGGAGGGAGGGCGGGAGGTGCGCGCTCCCGGGAGCCTCGCGGTGCGCGCTCCCGCGCGGGCAACGCCCTTCGGCCCCTCACGCTGGCGGCGGCGGCCGCGCGCTTCCCGCCTCCCGCCCGCGCTCCCGCGCGCTCCCTCCCCTCAGCGAACAAAGGGCGAGGGCGGGCGGCGTGCGGAGGTATCGCGGCCGCCCCGCCGGCCCTGCAGGCCGAAAACGAGTCCGAAAGAGCCGGATGGGAAACAAAAAGACACGAAATCGAACCCACAAACGGTGTTGTTTAAGCCCAGGGCTGGGAGAGGCAGAGCCCCCTCACCACAGTAAATGGGAGCGCTCTCGGCTGCCGAGCACAAAAGGGCGGGAGAGAGGCCACAGGCCTTAAAATGCTGCTCGCAAGAGGCTGGCAAGCTGTAAATTCCTTCATATCGTGCGAGGGAAGACTGCGGGAGCTAGGCCTGGTTAGTCTGTGGAAGGGGAGATGAGGGGGGATCTCATTAATGCATAAAAATATCTCAGAGATGTTAGAAGATGGTGCCAGACTTCTCAGTGGTGCCCAGTGACAGGWTGAGGAGCAATGACTGTAAACTAAACCAACAGTTCCGCCTCAACATGAGGAAGAGCTTCTTTCCATGAGGGTGGCAGGGAACAGCTGTGCAGGGAGGGCTTGGAGTCTCTTTTTCTGGAGATATTCCAAACCTACCTCAACACATTCCTGTTTCATCTGCTCCAGGTGACCCTGCCTTGGYCARGGGTTGGACAGGGTGATCTCCTTYCAACCCTAAGAAATCTRTGATTCTGTGATCTTTCCCTCAGGAACTTGACTAATAGCAATTCTGTTAGAACTTATTTTCTCCAATTCTGCTTACAGAGGTACTCACACAGCCAAAGTTTCCAGAGCCTTCTTTTCATATTATCCTCACATCACTGCTCTGGAAGGGTTTACRTGAAAGAGAAAGTAGAAAAAAAATAGTAAGGAAGCATAAAAAATTGCAGGTTTTGTCTTACAGATGGGGCCTCATGTAAACCAAGGAGGAGAGATGTTACCAAAATGGAAACATTTCACACGAAAACTCACATTGAAACCCTAATTAATATTAAAAAGTATAGATACAGTATTGCATCATTTTTTCCTGCTRTCACAGGTCTAAATCTGGGGGGTTTCCCCAATATTTGTTTATACCTTGTTAAAAGGTGAGATTACTTGGCAACAGAAATAGGTTTATAGAAAAAATAAAACAACCCACAGCATTATAGCCAATTTTCAATTAAAACTTATCCAGCAAGAATACACCAGTATTAGAATAAACAAAAAAACCCCACAAAACATACCAAAAAACAACCAAAAGGAAAAGTTATTATTTTTTTTTCCTGCAAACTTTTCCCCCAGTAGATTCTTGGTTTCCTAGAATTTAATCCAAAGTGTTCTTTCTGTCATGCTTTCTGAAGGGAGGTGTGGTTACCTTTAATTAGTAAGAGAAAGAGCAGGTTTGCCAATTAAACTGTAGGAAAGTGGGTTGGCTATTATTCAGKTTGTCTGTTATGAAAAACTATTAGATCCTGGTGTGGTTAAGCCTTTGATTCTTTAATAATCAAATGTTTGTTTTAAAATAGCCTTTATGATGCACTAAAGCTTTAATTCATCACCCTGAGATTTACAAATAACAAAATCAAAAATTTACTGAAATTAGAATAAATTATTCTTGAATKACTGCCCCAAATTGCTTATATTTCATTCCAGTAACTATGGGGAAATTTCTGTTCTACCCCTGTGGAACCACAGTGTATGCAGATGGGGATGTCAGTGTTCTTGAGGCTAAAGATTCACCCAACATCCCCATCTACAAAATACTGATTAAATCTAAGTGCTTAAGAAACACCACAAGTTTATTAGGTATTTGCAAAGTTGCCTGCAGATTTCAAAAGCAGTTACACACAATATTTTAGTCATTAAATCTCATTTCTATAGTAGATTTGTAGTAGGCAAGTTGCATGTTTTCTGGGTTGTTTTTTTTTTTTATTTTAATTTTTTTAGTTAGAGATTGCTTTTAGGCTTAGCAGAGATTAAAATATCCTTTCAGGAATACACCATGATTGGTGTGGAAAAGAATGACCACTAACTATATCAGGCAAACAAAAGTACATAAAGCATTTTTAAAAAAGAAGAAAAATCCTTGTTTTACAAAGGAAAATTTCTAAATCTTATGAGATTTTGTGGAAAGTTTTCRGTTAGCACTGGATTGTACAGAAAAAAAATCTGTAATGAACAAAAATAATATTCTGAGATTCATAGCAAATAGTAAATCACATTTTGCTTCTTTGAGAAAATAGCTGCATTGAGATTTTATTATTGGATAGAACAATTGTAGCGTGAATTAATTATATCATAGATTGCATAATTATAAATGATATCATTAGAAACTAATGCATGCTTTTTCCCATTGCACATTCTTATACAGATACTGCTTTTCTTCATTACATTTTTCTTACATGCTTTTACCAGTGGTGCAATTCTAATAACTAAACGTGGTTTGTTGTTTTTTTTTAATGAAATACACATTCAGATCTTATCCTTTCCTAGCAATCTCTATTTTTTCCTTGYATTCTAATTTTTATGCATTCTCTGTTTCGTGAGGCCTAAAGGAAATTTCTCTCCACAGGTCCTGTGCTCTGCCACATCTTCAAATCCATGGAATTTGGTAAGAAAAATGGATCAGTCAAAAGTGTTTATAGCACATATATACATGGCTGATGCTTTCACCACACCTATCCTTTTGTAAAAATACAACTGTTGCAATAGTTCCTGTTTCTGATCCAGTGACTTAATTATATCTTATTCTCCAGTGAGAAATTTGATTGATGTACAGTTACACTGCTATTATGGGGAGGGATCCTGCAGATTGGAAATGGTTGTTTACGGAGGGGAGGATTGTTCCAGGTGGGGTGGGTGGGCTTTGGTTTGGTTTGGTTTGYAAATCTCACTGGACAAATCAGTTTTRCTGCATTTTCAAACCTGTCAGAAATCCCACATTCCTGTGTGCAACAAGGTGGTTTCTTCTCCTGTCCTCATATAATCCTGTGCTGGAAGCTACTGCATGGGCATCATCAGTATTTTTAAAACTTCTTTTCCATTTTTAATCATAATTTTTTTTGTATGGGCACACAGATCCATAAACTGCCTTTGTAGTGTTCAGTGGACAAGTGTGCAAATCATCAGAAATAAGTGGACTTACCAGATACAAGTTATCTGCTTTATATGCTGCAAAAATATTGTTTGTAACTAAAAGTTTAGCTGAAAATACCTGTGAATACCTAAAGATCTGGTATAGATAACTAACAAACCCAAATATTATGGATTTTGGTTAGGTCCACTTTGAAGCAGCTGTTTTGCTCCTGGGTTTCAGCTAAAGAAAACCTCTGTAAAAAGGTTGCTCCATAGCTCTCCATTGCAAAATTTCTTGCACCTTTTTCTCAATCAGCTGACATTAACCCCTTTGTAGGGAGCATCCTGAGTTAGCTGAACTTCTGGGCAGTTTCACTTCTTAAAGTAATTGATTTTTGCATACAAATAACATTGTTATAATCAAAATTCACATATTGTTATCCGAGTGAAAATATTGCATGGTTCTTATAGTAACTGAAGATGCTCCTGGTCCCTGAAAGAATTGCTGTCACCAAACAGGTATAATTTATGCTTTCTTAAAAATTGTGAAAAATCAGCCCTTCTCAAAATTGTGTAGCTCCTCAGATGGTGTAAGAATATGCTGAAGYAATAAATAATTATGTTTTGCCTCCYTTCTTTGTAACTTCAGATAAGTGTTTTGACTCAAACCTCCACCTCATATTCCAGAATCACCACATTGCCACCATTTCCCATTCCATAAYATTTTGTCTGCCTTTGTATCCTTTGATGGCTATAGAGTGCATTCTGTGAACCCTGGAGAGATCCAAGGAGACACTCACGTGATTTTGAATTAGTTTGAACTTCTCCATTTGGTCCCTAAAGCAAAGCAGAACTCTCTACTCCTGACATTGCACCAAAATTAAAGAAGCTTATAGAGTGTTTAAATTTCAGCCATGATTCAATCCTGAGTCTATACAGAACTCTTTTTTTTTTGGGCTATTGTTTTACTTTTCAAAGCTTTATTCAGAGCTGTTCCTACCTGCTGTTATTTGCCACTTCTTTAACAATTGGATGACAATCATCACTGCTACCTTCTGAGGAAGGACCCAGGTAGCAGAATATCAAGATCATTCATTAGAGAAAATAAATAAGTAAAAGCAAACTGAATAGAAATCCTCAGTGAGGCCAGGCAGAGCAAAAAGTAGGAGTTGCTCAGTCTCCTTAGTTACATTCTGCATGCTCACAGTTTCTTTCAGTTTCCCTATTATTATGGAACAAAAGAGTTATTTTAAACGACTTCTGAGAACATCGCATAAAATTAGCAAAACTGTGTTAGTCTGCAGAGAATATAATTGACAAGGTTTTAAGGTAAAGGGAACTGATTTTGAGAGTCTCCATGTCAATTAGGACAAAAAAAGCAGAAAAGTCCAGATACCTGAGTTTTTAACTGGAAGATGATCCTGAACTCCTTAGTATGGAGAGAATTAGGGTAGGTTATCTGTGAAATAGGTTCAAGAACATTTAATTCAGAATTGTTGAGAGACATTGCAAGGCACTTCCAAATCCTTTGGAAAAATCCATTGCTGTGTAAGTTGTGAAGGTCCACAGCTTTCCTGGTTATGTTACTGGGAATGTTATAATCGTGTGGGTGATTTGACTGGCTTTGAAAATCTCATCCTCAACCGGGCGACTAAGCTCTGTTCTGAACTTTTCTGCTTTTTCATCTTCTAACCTTGAAACATAAACAGGTGTCTTRAGGTTGGTCTGAGCGTGTTTATGCACTTAAAACTAAAATTCTCCTTTTTTTTCATTCTCTTTATACAAATCCATATTGAGAGAACCAGAAGAATAGCTTGGAGTGYATTTTTCCTACCATCAGAATTGTGTCAGAGCTCTTTTCCACGTGCTGGGGATTATTCTGGTTTTCCTTTGTGTTCCTCAGTATCTGTTGCATGTTTACATTTTTTTGCTGTACCTTTAAACTTCCAAGCTGCAGCTTGGCTTTTAAAATTCCTTTGGTGCTCCTGGAAAATAATACAATAGCAACAAAGGGAATTGTTATAATAATCTTAGAAATGAGCTTCTGCAGTGTTTGTGTGTACACACATCTATGAACACACAGAACCAATTGTAGGTCTTCCTTTAAGGAACATTTGGGTGGCATGAACGCTGATCAAGCATTTTGAGTAAAAGCTTAAAGCTT